CGGTCAGTTGTCGAACCGGATCGTCTTTCATATTCTCCAGGTTCGACGGTCTCAACTGAACGGAGCCATTCCTCGAGCTGATAATACTTACGCACGAGTGATCATTTAATCTGCAACTCCAATACCAACAAGAACGTTACTTTATGCTGAAGTTTTAGGGTATCAAAGCATTTGAGATCTCTACCTGTCTGGTAGACGCTGCGGGGTCAGCAGGAGATGACCGTCATAGGCTCCGTTCTTCGGGATATCCATGACATTCAGCTTGGATGCTTTGGATTCAGCTGCGGCCATGTGTGGGGCAAGCACAAGAAGCTCAGGTTGGAGGTGCCTTCGACACGAGGATGTTAAACGGGGAATGAGCTTCAAGGTAGCATCAACAACAACCAAGCAGCAACTCAAGGATAGCAGTGGTGCGACCGGCACAGAATCCTTCAGCGCTCTATTGAAAAGCATTGCACTTTTGTGTGTATGTTGACTCTGATGATGTTACGGAGCCAACCCCATCTGCTTCCATCCTCGTATTCATTGCTGTATCCCTCGATTTTCAAGGCCGCATTCACGTACCCTACTGGTCTATTTGGGCGCGTCATGGCGTGGTCATGCGCTCCACATTAACCGAACACTACGGCTGAAACTACGACATCAACACCATGTTTGTGCGCAGTCAAAGCCAAGCCTCGACTATCGAAACAAAAGCTGTTACTATTTTTATTTAATACATGCTATGGAAATTCCGATGTTGTAGCCGGTCCTGCGCTGGTTCAATCAAGGATTTACAATTGACACCTTGTAGTGCAAAGTTGCACCAGGATGAGAATCCCTTTCGTTGAACGTTAGAGTGATGAGCACCGAGGAGCCAATATAACACGAACGCGTCTACAGCGTCGGCAGGTTGCTGTCGCTGCAAGGCGGCGGACGATTTTGTGTGCGTGTATTGAAAACAGTGTCATACTGCCAGTTTTTCATGGCCTGGTAAGGCTTTGGCAAGGCGTAAGTGGAAATAAAACTTGACGATCTGTCAAAAGTTCATGAAAGACGTGCTGATGATACTGCAGTGAGCTCAGGGTTGAAGTGACAATCACTCCGTTGTTGAAGTCTGGGGTTATCGTCAACTCCCTGATACTACCAGTACTAGCTCTATCACTGGTTGAACATGTATAACGAGCTTAGCTTGTTAAACATGTTCAACAAACCAACCGGAAAAAAACAGGCTAGTAGGCTACATTTTCGTTTAATTACATTTTTCTATGCGCTTAATGCCTCATCATCTAACGTCGAAATCTCTAGTTATCCGTCCAAGCTCAGATCCTCGAACTGCGATCGCGTGAACTTCTTCAATCGCGCATACAGGAAACCAGCCAGTGTGACTCCCAGGACGATCATCGCCGGTGCCAGCGTGAAGAAGACGTCCACAGCGATGTACATCAACAAGGCCGTCGGGATCAAGAGGCCAAGCAAAAGCATAGGGATGCTTCCAGGAACTGTGCCACGTCAACAGCAAAAACAAAATTATTAGACAAAGTTTTTTGCAGAAAAAACTAGTTAGCTAGGCATTGTGGAGATACAGTACCTTTGTACGGACGCTTAAGGTCTGCGTGCGTGTAGCGCAGTTTGATGAATGCAGCAAAGATCAGGATCTGGTAGAAGGCCGAGAGCGCATTTGTCATGTTGACGATGTCGTTGAAGTCGAACTCGATGAGCACCAAAATGACGATGAGACTCGCGAAGACGGCGTTGTGTGGCGTGTTGAAGCGTTTGTTGCGTCTATCGCAGATTGAACAGTATCTAAATTGTTAGAAAACAAGTACATGCAGAATCAAAACACAGCACAAAAACTTGCAACTTACGCCCCCAGGAACGTTGGTGCTAGCTCATTCTGAGCCATACCCATGATCTGGAACGAGTCACAGAACAGCTCCGCGATGTACATGCCTGCATTACTTGCAAACGATGCCAACATGATCCACGTCGAAAGGAAAGTACCTCCCAATGCCGATGCGATGCTCGAGAATGATCCGTCGTCCCATGTCGTCCAATTCGGTGAGTTGAACACAATTGCACCGAACAGCGGCATCAGATACGTGAGCGCGATCAATAGCACCGAAATCAGCATCGCGCGGGGGTACGTTTGACCTGGGTTCCTAACTTCACCACCAAAAACCGACATACCAACGGCACCGTTGAAATTCCAGAAGAGAGTGTTGATCAAGGTTGACCAGTCAATCTACATGGAATTCACGGTTAGCCATGAGTGATATAACCGTGTCCTATGTCGTGTCCTATGTAGTAAAATATCTTAAATACTTACATCCAAACCGCCTGACATGCTCACAAGGTCACCATTCGAATCGTAGACAATGTCGGAACGTCGCATTTCACCCAGCGCACTCCAGTCGTGTCCACTAACAAGACCCCACACGAAGAGTACGATGAATGGGATCATAACGAAAATGGACAATATCACCATTCCCTTGCCAACAATGCGAATACCCAGTAAATTCGGGAGTGTCAGAGCCACAGCGATGGCTGCTTTGATGAAGTATTCAGCTGTCGGTGAACCGATATCTCCGTACACTTCGGTAAAGGTCGATACCGCCAATCCAGGATAGAGGGCGTTATCGATCACACCTATCCAGATAAAACAGCAAGTGAGAGTTAAAATGATGAGCAAACGAGCATACGGCACCCGTAGTCCGTTCACAATACAATATATACTGACCTGAAATCCATGCCCAGTAGCCACACTGGAACCCCCAAAATGGTCCGAAAGCGTGAAGGACCCAAACCGTGTAGCCACCTTCAGTGTATCCAACACCATTCGATTAGTGTGTGAATTCTAACCTAGGACTGTGATTCGGCTCTTACCGTCCTCTGGATATGCAGTGCTCAGCTCAGCAGTGACGTACGCAATTGGGAGGCCGAGGATGACCGGGAACACCAGCAGCAAGATAAGTCCAATCAAAGGACCACCAGCTACAAACCACAACAGATACGTCAAAGGGTTAGCACGTATTCAAGACGTCGACACCAATCCAAGCTATGCAGTCTCACCAGAAATAATTGGCTCTGACCCAATGGGTCCTCCGCACACCGAGAAGTAGCAGAGCCCGACGATACCCATGACGGTCAGTTGTCGAACCGGGTCCTCCATCAGCGTCCCCAAATTCGACGGTCGCCATTGCACCGAGGTCTTCTCGTCATGGTCGTGGTCGGTGGAGCTTACGACACTCACAGAGTGATCACGTAGGCTGCAGCATGTACAACAACCAGAAAAAAACATTAGCCCTTTGCAATAGGGGGATGCACACGCCACACATTTCTCACCGCTCCAAACGTTTGGGCGTCGTCAACGATTGCTCGAAGGATGTGACTAGCGGGCTCTCGATTGCAGGCATGGCGTCGGGGCGATTCGAGCAGCGCACTGGGCGATCGATTCTGAAATGATGATTTCGCAGCGATAGTTGAGACTGTACGAAGTGTAGGTCCCCTAATGATGTCCGGCTATCACTGGTCGAACCGGGCGCGTCACAACCAGATGGTTGAGAGCGACTTTGCTGGGATTTAACGCAGCTCGTCTCCTGGTGAGTCGAATATCGCCCGAGTCGGATGCAGAGAGAGAGAGAGAGAGAGTAAAGCAGACATCCTAGTTCTGTATTGCGGCAGTAAATGTATCATGCTATGCTGGTACATGTACGGGTAGCAGCTACTGTGAGCCAAGTTATCCATATTGAAACCAGCAGAACTGTACTGGATAAAAGAGTTGCTGACACATACACTGTATCGGGGCGACTCACGAGCAATGGTGCGACAGCAGTGCAGTCACCATGGGCATGTCCGAGATGGGAGCGGGTCCGATCCATAAGATCAGTTTGAATGACAGCGTGACAAGGATGCGCTCAAGGATCAGTCCTCCGGTGACGGTCCGTAACTCGCGGAATGCCTCGCACCACTACGCTTCCACCGCTTCCTGCGCATCGGCGAGTGACGACTTCTTTCACTCCTTCCAAGACTCTCGCTTCAATTTCATTGTCTGCGCCAACTCGCGTGATTTAAACACAACAAACTAACAACCTCAGCACCAAAAAAGCCTCCTGATTCCGTCACACATGCCTTCACGCGACTTGAAGATCCTGCTCCTCGTCTGTAGTCTGCCATCCATACCGGGTGTTATTGCCATCAATGCCATGCTTGCGCCAGTTTCCTAACGGCTGTCTTGGGTAATGGGCCACTTAGAGCTGGAGACGTTGGTGATCTGATGACTCTCGCCTACTTCTTGGAAGTATATGTGAATCTACCAGTTCAACTCCATATCTTCATAGCGGATGGGTGCCGCTACAGCAGCGACGGCCAACGCTGCCGACGCAACGGGCCCTGATTGAAGTTGGCTGAATTGGGCACGAAGCAAGCAACAAGTACCTATTTGTGCAGTACCGTAGCTTGAGACTTCAGGTCCTGGTGAAAGAGCGAATGTTTCTCCGGAGCTCAAGTGCATGTATACTTATTCGTTATCAATCCTTCTCTTCCCACCAGTGTGAGTCTAAACTAGGCTCGGAAGCTGAAGCTTCAGCACTTCAGCCCAGTAGCTAAAATGGGATCTTTTAGTCCTTATTCCAAAATAAATGCCCTTTCTAGAATTGTTTGCACGTTCTCGGCACCACCAAATCAAAGCCTATTTCCTGCCGAAGTAGAGGACCGAGTTGACATTTGCCACGCGCGCAGGTGTCCACTCTCAGTCCTCGCCACCTTCACCCCGTTCCTCCACCGCTAATGCCGCAAACCTCTTTGCATCTGAAAGGCTTCTTGGCGCTGCGCCGACGCGGCAAACTCGCGCGTCTAGCACGTTCCCAATCCTTCGAAGGACATCGAACAGCATCCTTGACAGGCTCCCGGCAGCGATTTAGTAGCGTTCCACGGCGTTTCCAGCGCGTAACAGTGAACTCCAGCAGTTGCAACAATGGGGAGAGTAATTCTGGCAAAGCGTGGCGCGAAATGGCGGCTCTAGGCGCCGCTATGAGCGGTTTAGTGCTCGCCAGCGCATCATCGGATCAGGAATCAGATGCCGCCATGGAGAGCCAAAATACTCAGAAAATTAAACGCGGAGGTAACATCCACGATGACTACGAGATCCTGGACGAGATTGTGGGCGAAGGAGGCTACTGCGTCGTGCAGAAGGGCATCGATAGACGCACAGGAGAGCTAGTAGCCGTCAAGATGCTCAGCAAGAGCGAGACCTCCGCTAGAGAATTCTGGAGCGAAGTAGATGTGCTCCGTGTGGCTGGACTACACCCGAATATCTTGCAGCTACGAGGCACCTACGAGACCGATTGCTGCTGGTTTATTGTCCAGGAATTGGCTCAAGATGGCGAATTATTCGACCATTTGGTCGCCAATGGAGCGTATTCCGAACGACAGGCAAGCGATACAATTCGACAGCTTTGTGACGCGTTGCAATATCTGCATCGCAAGGGGATCGTGCATGGAGATATCAAGCCTGAAAATGTTTTACTGCACAAAGGCCGCATGTGTCTAGTGGATTTTGGTGTGTCATTTCGCATGGGTGAGCGCTTCTTCTACGATTCCCATTTAATGGGGACAGTGGCGTACGCAGCACCGGAGACACTGGAGCATGGCGCTCTGATCCATAGGAGGAATACCAGGGACGCACTCAGGAGAGCTCGAGCCAATGGAGAGGACGTACAGCTGGACGAAGATGACGAGGACTTGGATGCACAAGCAGGACCCGATGCAATCAAATTCGGGCCCAAATCCGACATGTTTGCACTGGGAATTGTGCTGTATATTCTGCTCTGTGGCTCACATCCGTTTGATACCTACAATAACCTGTCTGATGAAGAGGTACGAACGAATACATGACTATAAGCTGGATATTATTTATTAACACTATAAGTTGTGGTTGTATAGATCCGGAAACGTATTCTTAAGGGCAAATTTCGCACTCAGTCCCGTGCGTGGCACTCGATCTCGTCATCTGCTCGTGATTTGATCAAAAAACTGCTCGAGATAGACTCAAACAAGCGACTGAGCGCGGAGCAGGCGCTACAGCACCCGTGGCTGCGCAACCAAAGTCAACTTAGCCACGAGCCAATGAAAAACTCCGCCGAGCTGCTGGAAAAATTCCAACGTGGACGGCGTCGTTTGCGTGCAAGTATCTTGGCTGTTCTTCTGCTTGATGCGATGGCTGAAAACCTGGACGAGGACGATAACAAAGAGCTGGAAAGTGTGAAACGCAGCTTTGCATGGGGTCTCAGCTCCAGTGTTGAAGCATTGAACGAAAAGACGAACGCGTTGCTGTCCACTCTGCACTTTTTCGACAAAGAAGGCAAGGGATTTATCTCCAAGAAAGACCTGGCACGTGTGAGCGAGAGTTTGGGCAAACACATGAGCGACAACGAGCTGAATGAGATGCTGGTGGGAGCTACTGGAGACCCAGAGCAGAACATTTCGTCTGTAGACGCTGTGGACTACGATAACGTGAAAATGATGATCTCTACATTGCGATCAGCCACCTACCGCCCAGGAGAGGCCATCATTCGAGAGGGACACGCAGGTGCTCACAACGTGTACTTGCTGTTGGATGGTGAAGTTGAAGTCTCTTGCAAGAACCCGATCAAAAAGTCCGTGGCAGCTAATGAGACCGATGAAGAGGCTCCGATCACGAGTAGCTCGACATATGAACCCTCTGAAGACTTCGCTGGTTTACCGTCACGGCCGTCGTGGCCAGGTTTTATCCAAACTCGCCCCACCACGTCAGGAAGCGACGAAATGAAGCTCAGACGCTTACCCAAGGGAACATTTTTCGGTGAGATTGAGCTGGTACGTCCTGACGGGCGCTTCCTCCCACGTATCGCTACATACCGATGTGCTGAAGGCAGCGACACGCCGTGCAAGGTGTTGCAAGTTGTGGCGGATGATTACTTGAACTTGAAGGGAACGTACGAGTCGATCAACAACCGCCTTGAGAAGACCGCACATCGTCATATCCGACAGCATTTGATCAAGTGCGTGGAAGCTGCCAAGGGGTCTGTGAAGATGCGCACGTTTGATACCGGAGACTTTATCTACAAGGAAGGAGAACCGTGCGACTCGGTATTCATTCTGTTGGATGGTCAAGTGGAAGTGCTTAAGGCGATGGAAGGAGTGGTCGTGGAAGAGCTGCATCCAGGCGACTATTTCCCACTGGGGGTGTCTGGCCAAACGCGAGCCTGCAAGATTGTTACGCGTCACTCAAGTGTGCGATGTACACAGCCTGTGAAAGTGATGGAGATTGGCGGCGAGACTTTCCGCAGTTTCTTGAGCAGTAACAAGTTCCTGGCCGCGTATTTCCGCGAAGAAGTGATGACGCGAGAACAACAGCGACTTGATCGACTTATGACGGCGTAAGCGGAGACAAAAAAAATGAAGAAGGAATGTAAACATTGAGGCTCGACTCGAATCAATCAGCGGTTGGCAGGCGGTTTACTGCCGGCAGGTTCATTCGTCGCTTTTGTGTGGAGCCAGGTCGACTTGCTCCAGTTGTGCTAATAGGTGTGGGTTGTGGGAACCCAGTGGTTAACGGAAGCGCGCGATCAATTGCTGTTAGATCATCGCGCGTCAACAAACTGGAGTGCACTTTGTGTGGAGAACAAGAGGGGTGAATCCCAGTGAATGGGTGTGCTAACGGACCGAAAATCTCGCGCAGTGCTGCTTGCTCGTGTTGATTGTCAGGCTGCAAGTCATTGAAAACTTGTGGGATGACAACGAGACCTTTTTGGAGTAAATAACGCACAGCAATTTGAAGCGAAGTTTGCATCACCTTGGTGTTACCAAGTGCGTGGGATTCCATGTGATATGACGATGCTGTACCTTCATTCTCATGAGCAACGAGGAATTTAAACGGCCGTTCGCGATATTTTTCAGATAGATTCTCCGCCAGCAATTTCCATTCTTCATATAACTGGAGGTTATCTAAACAATAGAAGGGGAATCGCCCCAGCACATCGATACCATGGCTGTGAGCGAATGCAATGACGTCTTCAAGCGGTACATCACTGTCCGAAGAAGCTGTCATTCCTGGTAGTTGTATCTCCATCAACCAGGCTTGTGGTATGCTATTCGGGTATGCGGTTAGTAAAAAGTCAACGTCTTGTACACTTAAGTCGCTGATCCCAATGTGCTGCACGAGCCCAGCTTGCTGGATCGCCATCATGTGCTCCCACGCTTCTAGAACTGCTTGCTTACGAGCAAATAAACCGTTTGTTCCTGGTAAAGAGTGTGCATGAAGCAGCAACAAATCCAGCTGCTGGAATTGCAAAGTCAGAAGTGCTTGCTCCACACGCGCTGTGACTTCCTCAAGCTTGCAATTCGATGGTGTAGATGCCACTACAATAAAATGCGCTCTGAATAGCAGTGCGTTGCCCATACACGTCTGGTGAACTGCTCCCCGTACGGCGAGCAAACTTTCACGGTTGTTGAGATCCTCAATAACCATGCCCCTGCAGTTTCCATCCGTCGTCATCTCCATCAGCAATTGCCGTTGCATAGCTCTGTCTTCCTCGGTTCTAGTCTCTCCTCCTATAGCAAATAGAAGCCGCTGTTGCTCTCTGAACGCGCTGCTGCTCCCATGAACTCCCACGCTCCACATGTTGAAGTGAATGAAGCGTCACCTGTCATAGTCTATATGAGGTGTTATATGAGTGTAATTGAACCAATATAGTGTATTTCACACAACTGATCTGATTGGTCGAAAGTTTTCATGCAAAACGAGAGGCCATCGGCTGGCACAGATCAAGTGGCAACAGCGATGGTGATGGTTCTGGCGCTGGTGCGGACGGCCGCGAAGCAGGCTACACGGGGCGTGGGTTGTGCTCCGCAGTTGCAGACCGTGCGCAACTTCGCGTTCCGTTCGCGCCGCAATGATGACGATGATGACTCATTCCGCGGTCGCCGTCGCCGCAACCCGGAGGACTTTGAGCCCAAGGCAAAGGACGACGAGGAGACGGGCGACCTGTACGACCCGTACCGCGAGTACATGGAGACTACGGGTGAGCGTGGCTATCGGGAGTTTAACCCGGACCATGTGGAGGACTACAAGCCTGAGTGGAACGAGCCTGCTGCTATGATGGAGGACAAATCGTGGCCCGCCACTACTGGCTCGGACCTGTTCACGGACCTGCTCAACATCCCGAACGAACCTCCCAGTGGAGAAAAGCTGGACAAGATCCTTAAGGAGGCCTTCGCTCGCATGGGCCACACTGGTAACATTGACGACATTAAGCTGCCCGAGATGGACGTGGAGATTCCCGCTAACCACCCGGACAAGGAGGCACTTGAGATCATGAAGCTTTCGATGATGAACAATGGTCGCCTCAAGATGGACGACAAGAACGACCTTCTTAAGTCCATCATTGACGAACTCAACCACCTGCGCAATGACAAGACTAAGCTGTTCAAGGGCCTCGGTAACGAGGAGGAAGGAGAGCAGAAGAAGTCAAAGAAAAGCAAGAACTAGACTGGTTGTAGCGACGAGGTATATAGGTGCAGACCGGTGCAGCGCAAGCGGTCTAGATGGTATCTTATGCAGGTGTCGCCTGCATATTTTTTTTTTTTCAATTCAATTGTGCTGCATCGTTTCGTCGAGTACTTTTCGCGGATATTTTTCGTATAAACGGTTTTATCCAATCAGATATCGTGGTCTCTACTTATCTACCAATCACATTGCACTAACGTTATCTCCCCCTCTATCGTCACTTCATCATTATCGAGGGGCATCAATAATGGAGTCGTCACCTCCAACTTCCAGTTCTTCTTCTCCAAAGAGGCAACGCCACATCTGGTCCAGTCGTGTGCATCGCGAGCTGGAAAAATGTCGTGTCGCTGGTGCTCTACCACGTGGCGCTACATTGCGACGCGCGCAGATCTCAGAGACTCGCGGTGTATGCGAAGGCGAATTCCAGTGCTTCGTGCCCTTTGTTGACGGCTCAGACGCTTTATCACTAGTACCGCGAACAGATCTGGTCGTTCGTATGCCCTTTTCGGATGAGCAAGTAGCAGAAGGCCAAGCGCAGTACCCATTTCTAGCGCCCGAAGTGGAGATCCGTCATGGCGCCATCTACTTACCGACCGAGTTGCGCGAACGAAAAGTACCCAAACTCGAAGGAGAAGAACCCATTTTTCTACTCAAATTACCATTATTGGAAAACTGGAGTCCGTCCACCACGCTCAAAATGCTAGTACAAGAGTTCTTCCAGCGGGTGCAGCAGGACGACCCCGCTCCGTCCAAGTCCCCGTCGACCAAGAGCTCCTCGAAGCACGAACGTGGACACAACAATGGGCGCGGTAAGAAACCCATGAGGATGCGCAAAAGGGACGTGCGTGGAGCAGTATACCCTTGTCAGGAGGTGGACCCTACGACGTCCACATTGAAGCAGACACCCATGTTGTTGCAGTCCGGCAATATCGCATTGCTCATGCCATCGAAAGAAGTGGGTACCCAAAAAGACGATGACTATGTGTATGTAGGAGACTTGATCTCTCTCAATGACGTGGTACGCATCACTCCGCAGCGAGGCAAGTCCCTAACGCTGTTCTTTAAGAACCGATCACTTTCATGCCGAACGTTCTTAAGTCAGTACACGGACGAGATCGTCAAAGATCTACGAACCATGATCCGAGACCCACGAACGCAACGTGGTCAAACTGGAGATGCGGGATCGGCGCAGTTGTTGCCATTTTTGAGTGCAGAGCAGGCGGAAAAGGCCAAGGAGATGTCGACCAAGTTCATGGGCAGACTTGGGAAAGTTGCCACGTCCGTTTCTCGCTTCCTTCGCGGCGATGAAGATGAGGCAATGGAGCAAGTGGATCCTTTAGCCAAGGCGTTTGCAGAAATTGACGCGCAGAAAGAAGCATTCTACCGTACGCCGTCTAAAATCAGGGTAGGAGTGTTGTGGTATCGCGGCTAGCTGCGTGAAGAAATCTGATGCTGATGTTGTGTCTTTAATGTGTTGCAGATGACGGAAATCACGCGACGCTACCAGAATATCGCTGAGGAATACGCGTACCTTAACAACCAGGAGGGCCACGTCGAACGAGCCATTTCAGAGCTGCAGGTTTTCATCGAACACCCCAAAGCACAGCGTATTCTAATGGAAACCTGCGCATATGAGCAGTCGACAAAGGGTATTCGTGTCGGCCCAGCTTAGATTCAAGCCAAGACCACGTACCCAGGATATCTCTACCTGGACGTCAAGAGAGATACAAGCTAAGTACTCCTAATTCCTGTGAACCCAGGAAATGCGTCACTTACATGTTCCAGTCAAATTCGGTGAAAAACTATCAAATTCAAACCCATTTCCACTTTACTGGTCTTGCAGTGCCGGGATCGAGGACAAATATTTGACCATTTGCTTGATGACCTTCTTGTCCAGACGCTTCTTGTTTGCGTGCATTTGCTGCAGCTTCTTGTATGCGGCTACAATTTGTTTGTGTAAAGCACGCATCTTCTCTGTATCTCTGGTGTTTGTTGTGCTTGTGCCACCGCTAACACTACTCTTTTGTTGCACTCGGCACTGTTGATTAGCTTCCCAGAGATCTTGTTGTGCGGCGGTAAGATCACGACGCGCCATGTTGGCCACTCCACGGGAATACAGCGCTGATATGAGCTTGCCCCCGCGAAGAGATAGCGCGTGAGTAAAGCACTGAACAGCTTGATCATGATCACCGAGAGAAGTGAAAGCCTTGCCCATGTTCATGGAGCAATCCACCGCTAAATCATCGAATGCACTTAATAGCGTCGTGTTCATACGCAGTCGAATGCGAGAGATAGAGACCCACTCGTCTTCTCTATCGTCAGCATCATAAAGCACTTCGACTTGGCTGGTAGCGCCTCTTCCTTCAACATCAGAGACCATCGCATCATGCCATTCGTCACCTCTTAACGAACGAACCTGAACGCTTGCACCAATACTGCAGCGAGATAATAGTTCATCAGCAGATAGCGATCGCAGCGACGTTTCTTGTTGAAGCTGCGCGGCTCTCAGCACAGCAATCGCACGTCGATAAAACGCTCGAGCTGTAGGGTAGTTGCCATGGCGGAAGAACGCGTTGCCTTGTGTCTTGTAGTTCGTTGCCAACTCCAAAGCTAGCTCGCCTGATTTGCCATCTTGAAGAGTCTCGTCGTTTGGAGGTAATCCCACGACGCTCCCGTGCTGACGTTCATACGTATCGATCTCGGGACTCAGTACTCCATATTGTGCCTCGCATAGCTCCTTTAGATATACATCTCGTGAGAATTTGCTTTCCCTCAATCTCGCCAAAGTGTATGCTTTCTCCAATGCACCACGTAGATCTGGCACTTCAGGCAGCATGGCTCGGCACGGAGCATTGTCGATCAGCAATTGGAGCATACGGATGGTGTCGGCAAACACGAACGACACACCACTGAGCATCAACCTCACTACTAGCTCACAAACATTCCGTCGCTTCTCATCCACATGGTTTTTCTTTGTGTTTTTAAATGACAATTCCGACGTAGAACCGAAACAAACCAGCGAAGAGACCTGCACCCCCACCAAGGCAAAGTTATCCAGCAATGTCCCGTCAACAACATCGTTCGGTTGCTCCAATGCAACCTGCAAAAGACAGCGCAGCACACCAGACTTTACAACCTGTTTAGCCTGGTCCTTTGTCGTGATCAACTTCCTCAAAACTTTTGCTAATTCTTGTCGAAGACTGGAGCTTCGCAACGTCACGTACATCTGCTTGATCACATCCAAGTACGAATCTTCTTCCTCCCCATTCTCAAGCTTTACAACCAGCATATTGGCCTTGGTTGGGGCATTTTTGCTCTTCATCTGTACCAACCATTGTGTCATTGCAGCCAATACATCACTCGACTCGAACCGATCCTTCAGCATTAAGCTCAAAATTGTCTGTAAATCTTGTTCGGAAGCTGTAAATTCGATATCACCAACACGCAGTAATGCCGTCAGTAATTGCCATTTGGCTGAGTGAAGCTCCGATGCGTCGTCACTTTCAACGGCTTGTAATTGACCAGACAGGATATAGCTCTTTAACTGTCTGAGCAGCTCTACATCGGACGGAGAGAGCGAGGATGAGCATAACTGTGAGAGGGCGTTCAGGTGGTCGACATGGACGAGATCATCGCTTTGAGTTGCGTCAGTGACACCTGCTACAAGCTCAGCGACGGACATCGCGGCTGCGTGACGTTGATTCGGTTCGGTTTGCGCCATTTTTCAGTTTGTGACGGTTTTAAAGCAGCATGTATGTAAATATGCTCTGCAGATGAAATGGGTACAGATACAGACATTTAAAGAGGGCAACTTGTTACAGTTATAGAGCAGCACCATCTTGTTCAACCAGCAGTCCTATTTCTCGCTGGCGGTATTGATAGTTAAAGCCGTGGCACTTGCATACTTAGAAGAATGAGTGATCCGAGCCGAACGGCTGTGAGAATCCTCCACCACCTCGACTACCTCCTCTGAAACCGAATCCGGGATCCATGTCGTCGTCGCGGGGCATGCGCAAGTGGTCAGGTCCTGGACCTCCAAACGGCATTGTCGGTGCTGGACCACGTGAAGGAGGACGGAAGCCACCAGTGGGGCCCAGAGGGTCAATAGGCGGACCAAACGGGTCGAAGCGAGCTCCAGGAACAGGTCCAACGGATGGATCACCACGATGACCAAAGAGCGGATGGTTGGGTCCAACTAACATGTCCGGATTGCCGCCGCCAAGACCAGGAGGAAACGCGTCACCTCCACCCACCTACAACGTACAAAATATCAGAAATATCTTGCAATATAATGGCAGAAACTGAGCATACCGGAGGGATACGGGTAGGCGCTGGAACATTATGGCCTCGATCATCTCGGTCAGATGGACGCACGAAACCAGGGCTGCTTACTGCTGGCGTCGCCTCTTTCTTCTTTGTAGGTCGAATGCTCTCAGCGAACGGCGTGAACTTCTCTCGTAAAGTCTTCAGGTTAAGCAGCAAGTCAGCTGCAGACATCGGACCTGTTGAGCCCCCAACAGCAACGAATTGATCCACACTTCACCAACAAATAGACATCTTGGTGAGCACAACGACATTAACTTATCACATGGAATAACGATAGCTTACCTTAGTTCGATCGAGTGGGTGTGGTCCTTGTCGTCCGAGATGTACACTTCAAACTTGCCACCAACAAACAGACCCTGCACAAAACGTACGAAGAGGGCCACATCAGCAAAATACAAGTACCGCGGCTACTATGTCCGGCAGTCATACCTGGAGAGAAAACTTGATTGAGTCGTCGTTAGGGTGAATATAGGCTGCATTAAACAGCCCATTTGCACTATTGGCATCCCAATTCTCCGGCAGCACGAACTCGGAGCTCGCTCTCGCCGACAGCTCGTAACCTGCACATATTTACCACAGCGAGTATCAGAATCCTCGCCTTGCGTCTTTATTTAGTCATTTGACCCGTCAATACCAGCTTCAAGCAGCAAGGCGTGGATCACAACGAACAGAGCGTCTCGAGGCTTCTGCACTGTCACTTCCTTCTCTCTCAGCTTAATTGCAACTATGTCGTTCTTGTCACTCTCACTCTGCGCCCTTTCAGCTGCTGAACTTGATTGCACAAAGCTTGTGGACGCGTCGAACGCACTTAATGCTTCCAACATGTGTGTCTGGGCAAAGGACACGAAGATTTCTCAATGAGCTCGGCCCGGAAAAGATGCAAGACCACGCGGGAGAGCACTACATGCATTTAGTGCAATGCTACCTTGAGCGCCTCGCTGTAGACGTCGTTGATCGCAGCGCGAAGCTGCGCTTGGTCCCGTTGGAGCTGCTCGTCCGCCATGCTTCTTCAGATTGAAAGGAAAGTGACAACTTGCGCAACATAACAGAAAATAGCAAAGTTAGCGCAACATAAACCCTCTTATGTTGCGAATTCAATCTAACCACTTGAGCGGAGTAGTTTGCGTCTGGCGTCAGTGATACTGTGAGGGAGGCCGAACACAAACAAACCTCGAACATTTTTATCTTCATGGAAGGTTCTTAATTGACCTTGGGGATTACAAAATGCGTGAATGCCGCCGCTGTATCTGCGCTGCACCCTCATAGCAGCATTTTTCCCGTCTTCAAGTCAAGCTGAGGCCACCACGAGGGCTGGTACGGGACGGCGTGGAAGGCACCGTCCTGTGTCGAGAACTTCATGCTGGGCACAACCTCGACTTCTTCCGACTCTGACGGGAGAAGGTTGCCTAGACGCATCATGGCAATGGCGCAGCTCACGTCTTTTCCGACGTTAAAAATCGTTCCAACTGCTTTCGTTCCGCCGGTTGACACAATCTTGTCTCCGATTTCCGGCGCCTTGACGCCCTTCCATTCCTTCGAGGCTGCCAAGTATGAGCGCAACGCTCCATGCGATGGCTCCGCAAAAGTCTTGAACGCAAGTTCCGAGAGAGTTTTTACAACGTCGGTCTGATCCGATGGAATTAATGCCATAGGCACTAACCGTTTGCGAATGTTGCCTTTAAACTGCGTGCGAGCCGTGAGTTCCTGACCAACATAGCAGCCCTTACGGAAAGACACGCCATGCATCAGGTCCAAATTGCACTCAAGCGGGATTCCATCCACCAATTCCTTGCTGCATATCACAACATGGTATTAGTGACACGATATCTTCGCAGTTGTGTGTATTCCAGCTTACCCTTCTGCTACTCCGAGAGCGATGCGATGGTCCAAGTAATCCGACGTGTCCATCGTCTCGTATTCCTCCGGCACATTAACTACCAAAGGTAATAGCAAACATAATAAAACGCATCAGTAATTGCAAGCCACACCAAGCCAAGACAATCAACGCTGTGTACAGGTTTCGTCAGTGGGGACGATAGCCCTCACGCCGAAGTGGTCTCCTCGCGGGTCGGCATACACCACTGAGTTGTCTCCAGGATTCAGCGTCTGCAGCTCGTCCAACGTCTTGACCGACGGCGTCAGTGCCGCGTCCTCCTCGTCCACAAGTGCGGGCAGTGTGGCGTAGAGCGAGAAGGCGTCTGTCTTGTCCTCGATCTTGACTTTCATGCGCAGCTTGTAGCGCTTCCAGTGCTTCATAAGAGGTTCAGCCACTTCTTCGTCGTAGTCTAGCAGGAATGCGTCGTCTGCGAGCTGTAGCACGTTGCAGTCGCCCACCACACGGCCCTTGGAGCTCAGGAATCCACCGTAGATCGCGTCGCCGCGGCGCGTCACGCTCGTCATGTCATTGGTCAGTACAGCCTGGATGAAGCGCGACGCATCCGCGCCTTGCAACTGTGTTAGTCTACGATTAACCAGCTGCGCAACGCCCGAGCGGCGCAACAGAGACGCCATCACCTCTCGCTTCGGCCTCAAAATGTTAAATGGGCGCTCATCCATCACAGATTGCGTATGATTAGTTCCAAGTGCGATTAAGTACGATTAGTATTTTCAGCGAATCACAGTGCGTTTCCGTTGTCTTCCAGTCGAGCAGCATTAGCTAGATCAAGTATGGGGGAGCGCGGCTTCGCGATCAAGGCGGACGCGACTAAGACAGCGTGGGAGTCGGAGGAGTTCCCACTGCTGTGTGAGAGCTGTCTGGGTGAGAATCCTTATGTGCGCATGATGAAGGAGGCGTATGGTAGCGCCTGCAAGATCTGCGCCCGACCTTTTACGGTCTTCCGCTGGAAGCCGGGCAAGCGTGCGCGTTACAAAAAGACCGAGGTGTGCCAGACTTGCGCACGAATGAAGAATGTGTGTCAGACCTGTGTATTGGACTTGCAGTACCACCTGCCGGTGCAGGTGCGCGACACGGTTTTGGCAAAGGAAGAAGGAGGCGGCCAGGTAGCGGTCAACGTACCCGAGAGCGACGCCAACCGCGAGTGGTTCTCACAGCAGCACAGCCGCATGTTGGAGCAGGAAGGGGCCGTATCAGCCTATGGTAAAGCGTCGGGTTCGGCCAATAACGCACTGCTGCGTATGGCTCGTCGTGAGCCTTACTACAAGCGCAACCGTGCACATTTGTGCTCATTCTACGCTCGAGGAGAATGTAATCGAGGTGACGAGTGCCCGTATCTGCATGAGATGCCTCGTGATAAGGACGATCCGCTTGCAAAGCAGAACATTAAGGACAGATTCTACGGTAAGAATGACCCGGTTGCCATGAAGATGCTCGGTGAACAGAAGAAGAACCAACGTCGGGACAGTAAGAACGATGGCAAGCCTCGTGAACCACCGCCGAAACCTGAGGGAGCGTCCAAGCCAAAGCCTCCTCCACTCCCTCCTGGAAAGAAACCACCGCTACCTCCCGGACCTCCTCCAACTGCAGCGAAGAAGACTGAGGAAGAAGAGACCAAAGGCTAGACTAGACTAGCAGCCCAGTTAGTTCACGTTAGGCATTCACTCGCTTACAAATACAAAGAACTCTCATCACTACCAGCTCCACGTTAAAACAATCGTGCTGCCGCCCATTTCCTGGTAGGATAATTGCAAATCATGCTTAGTCGTCATGCAGTCGAACTCCGTAGAGCATGAGAGCTTTCTTGCAGGCTGCATCTTGAGCAGCGGCAACGGTGCGTCCAGCCGCACGAGCCACTTGGAAGTTGTTCACATACAGAGCCACTGCATGTCCCGGTGGCGCATTTGTCTTCGCCTTTTTACTCTTTTTTCCATCATCGCTGTCCTTCGGTACCAAGACGTTTGCTTGCGTGGTTGTACCAGGAGCTTTAATGGTCTTGAACTGACACGGGATCGGCTTCATGCTGGAGCGACTCCATTGTGAAATGTAGTGCATGAACACCTTGCGCGGGTTCATCCACTGTCGACGTCGAATGGCTTCAGTGAGTCGAGGGAACAGCAACCGCTCGAGGATAGCGCGTACTTTATCTAAATCTCCCGGGTTCTCAACAATCACAGCACCAAGTGTAGCTTCAAACACATCTGCTAGCACGTCTTCAATGTACAAGTTGCCATTCTCCTTGACAAGATTTCCCAAGCGGATAAACTCCTCGTATCCAGCCTTACGCGCAACGATCGCCAGCTTCGTGTTCTTCACGAGAGAAGACCGTACTTGAGTCAGTAGATGTTCCTGATGATACGGGAACGCATCAACCAGGAACTCGGAAGAAAGAAGCTGCAGCACCGCATCGCCGAGAAACTCGATACGTTCGTAGCTTGGATCATGACCAATGAACTCATCGTCATCAATCTGGGGCTTCTGGAACGAGGCGTGAGTGAAAGCTTGCAGCCACAAGTGCGTGTTGGAGATATCCACGCCAGAACGTGCAGCAAAGCGACGATGTAGTAAGCGAGCGCTGGTATACTTGCTCCACTTCTTGATTTCAGCGCGGTCTTTCTCCACATATTTTTTCGCCTCAATAATGAGTTGATCGGTAGTCAGATAGCACAGCTCGCGTAGTTCGGGATCGTGCATACCCATAAGTTTACCGAGTAGTTCTCGACATGGAACAATCCCTTGGTCTTTATAGAGCGCGCCTAGAAGCGCCTCGAAGCAGTCTGCCGTGATTTTAGCCTTGATTTCTTCATCCAGCTTAGCCAAGTCGAATGCAGTCAGCAAGAGCGACTCTAAGTTCGCGGTTTTCGCCATCTTACCGAGGTTTTCATTGTTCACTATGTCCACTCGAGTCTGGTGAAGGAATCCTTCGTCGGCTTCTGGCAGCTTCAGGAACGCCGACGATGCCACGAGAAAGCCAAGAACAGCATCGCCTAAAAACTCCAGTCGTTCGTAAGGGCACAGATAGCGTGAGTGGAATTCCTCCTTGAAATCTCCAGATAAATGCTTCTCCGCAACTTGTCGTAACTGAGAGGCGTTGTTCCCTGCTGCCTTGCCAGGAATGCGTGTGTCACCTTCAAGCAGCATACTACGGGATCTCTTAAGCGACGCAGTGTTCTCAAACACGTGTCCAAGACGAACACGCGATCGCGTGGCTTCAACAGTGTTGACATTCTGCATACCCACGTCGATATATGAACCGTGAGTAAATGCTTGACGTAGCAGTGTCTTGTCCTTGAATGTGAGCCCCATTGCGGTCGCAAAACTGTTCAGTAAACTGAAGTGCCGCACGTATTTGAGCACCATAGGCATGGCGCTGCCAACCTCGAAAAGATCAGTACGAATACCCGTAAGGTGGCACTCTGCTGGACGTAGCTCCTGGGAAAGAGGTTCAACCTCAGGTGACAGCTGCAGAAACACTCCTTGCTCCTGCCATTTGCGGATCTTCTTCTTGGACTTGGCACCGTCAAAGTTGCGTGCTCCTTCGCTGCGATGAGCTATCGCGCGAACGATATGACGTCCGTCTTTAGTGACGATGCCATGCTTCTCGGCGGGTGGAGGGTTGGCATCTCCAGTCTCTCGAGGCTCCATAGCCAGCTCATCGACACGGAAAACGCTTGGCTGGCCTTTGATGCGAGTGGAGACAATGCAGTCCACTAGCTCGCGGTGGTCGAACCGTAACAAGAAGTCACGAACGGTGAATCTCGCGCTGTTTTCGAGATATTCCAAGATCTTCTGTACGGATAGCAGTCGTCCGATAGCATATCCCACACGGTTGGGCGAATGCAAGTCTTCAACGTGAAGCAATGGCTCCTCGTTCACGGCTATAAATCGCGGTACCAAGTGGTAGTCGCCACAGACTTCGGATGCATCGCCTGTAGCATGAGCTGGGTCCGGGAAAACCTTTCCAAACAAATGCGCAGGTTGAATACCCAGCAGTTGCTGGAACACGTATCGCTGAAGCAGAAACAGCGAGTCGCAGAAAGATCGGTGGGCCTCTCCATTTACATCAGCGTCCACGTCGTTGCTGGTCGTTCCACGCACGGACGACGGTAAGTCTTCTGGAACAAAATGGACCTTGCACATGACGCCACCGCGCGTATATTCAAACTACGAAGGCAGATATAGCCAATTAGTCATAGCTCAAAAGAGTTCGTCAGCATCAGGTGCACTCACTCTCGGCATCTCAGGTGGTTCGCTGTGACACAATAAATAAAACCCGTCAAAGATGTAGACAGCGTTCTCGATCACAATCGTTGTTTGCCTTGGGCATCGCGGGTTCACTGCATAACGACAAGTTATGACACTTAACGTTAGTGTCTGCTTATGTGCTTCAATTCAGTCGGTTTTAACACCCACTTTCAGCTTCCCATTGGAGACGGAAGCACTTGATCGCTTTGCAGTGGTAGGACACGCGCAGATTCTCCTCTGCTGGGCTTGCAATCGGTGTAACGGGAAGAACAGGCGCAGCAGCAAAGGGGGTGGGCGATGGAGTGAGAGGAGCTGGTGTTGAGGCTGGAACTGGAACAGTTGCGGGCACCGGCACCGGCACCGGCACCGGCACCGGCTTGGGTGGCACGTCCTTTGCTGCTGTTGCAGACATGGATGCGTCCAGGAACGACGCGTTCTCTATCTCGAGCCCAATGGAAACGTCGTCCATAACTGGCAGCACGTATCTTGGTAGCCAACTTAAATGGAAACCTAAACTGGCAGCTTTTGACCAATGACAAGCATGAAGTGACGGGGTTTTGGCGAATAAGAAACTATTTAATGAAGCTCACGGTGAAGAAGGTGTCGGTGTTCGTCTGCAAAGCAGACATCTATATATTCATCTTCCTTAGACCTGTAAGCCTCAGTCTGATGTGTGGGAAGTTGGAACCCGTCATTTACACAAAGTACTTGCCCTTCTTAAAGCAGCTCATGCACAAACGGTGACGCAGCTTCTTCTCTCCGCACATGGGGCAGTCCTGGAAGTGCACGATGTTCTTGAGACGCTTGCTCAGGTCGTTGTTTCTAATCTTCTTGCGAGACGGCGTCACCTACAGCAGCAGCAGCATACAAAACAATCGTAAGTCCGTCAGTTTCCAGCAATTTTCATCTCGTCCTTCTCAATCGCCAGCAAAAACAGCTCTGTCGCTTCGTTCCTAGCACGAATTACTGTGGCTGCATGTTGCTGCTATAGTTGCGATGGATTTGATGTTAGAGTTCGTGTCTGTAACCATACCTTGGACTTGGGGGCGGCCAGCCAGATAGCGTCACTCAACGGGTTGGAGGGAAGCGCGGATGAAGCACCGTTGAGCGCCAGCGGAGCCAGGATCAGCGCTGGTGTCTGAGACGTCGGGAACATCTTGTGCTGCAGGAACGCCACGGCGCGCTGCATGGCGTTACGCACCAACATCGCGGCCATTGTCGCTCTTGTGTCAATGCCAAAGTCTTGTGCGGCCAACGAATAGCCGTCAGCTTTCTTACAAAAACCAAGTGTAAATCCTAGTTCCAATTTAAAGGACTGGGATTGGTCAAAATTAAATTTGCCTCGAACTCGAGATAGCCTTTTCAAGTTCATCAACTATGGTCGAGGAAATGCAACAAGACATACGGCGCCAGGTGTGCGAGGCGCAGGAGAGTTGGAGACAAAAGTGCGGTGACAATGACAACAACGCGATGCCCTTTGTGACGATGACCTATGCGCAGAGCATCGATGGCTCTCTGACAGCAGAGAGGGGTGCGCGTAACGGCGTAATTCTGGAGTGACTGCAGCATGGCTGACAGACTTGAGTCTATGATCAGGCAAGCCGACACTACTCAGCGGATCTGCATCCATGAAAATGACGCACATGCTGCGTACACTGCACGACGGCATTATGGTGGGAGTGGGGACTGTGCTCGCAGACAATCCGTCTTTGAATGCGCGGCTGGCGGAAGGTAACTTGTGATCCTTTTGGCGCAACAGGTTCAGATTGATTTCCTGACAATTGCTGGCGCCAATGAACAATGCAGGAAGCAATCCACGACCGATTATTATCGATACGCACCTGCGATGCCCGATGACCATTAAGCTACTCACCATGCCGACCTGTGAAAAGCCGATCATCTTCTTCGGTCGTGGATCTCAGGATACAGGTTGGGATGCTGTTGCAATGTGACGTAAAGTTGTTACCTGCGTTGCTCACATGGTTGTGTGTCTGCTGCAGAAACACTAGAGCGGAAACAAGCTCTTGAAGCACTCGGAGCTCGGGTCTTTGAATGTAACACTACGCGTGGGGAGGATAGTTGCGACCACGTCGATCTTCGGGACGCCTTCCGTACGTTGTGTGCATCTGGGAGTTGGTTTAGTTGCATAATTTCCAGATGCCTGCACAGCGTTCTAATGCTGTCTCATGCAGGTATAGTGAAGCAGCTTGGTATCAGCAGCGTCATGGTTGAAGGCGGCTCGGCGATCTTGACGTCGTGCTTGCAGGAAGCCACACACCGACACATAATCGATCTCGTCGTTGTCACCGTTGCCCCTACTTTTGTAAGACACAAATCCGGGTAATTGTTGAGGCTCTACTAACTATTTACTGGCAGATCGGAGGTCTCCGAGCGGTGGGCGGTTTACTAACCCCAAGCACACCATCAGTTGCAACAACATCGACCTTCCCGCGCTTAAAGCAGCCTCGTTATCACGTTCTGGAAGAAGACCTGGTCATACTTGGGCAGCTGGACAATTAGCTCGAGACACCACCGACTGCGACGGGGTGCCTCCCTACGTTCACGCACTTCAACATAACGGGGAGATCACGCCGCAAAACTCTGGAAAATGAGTGGCCGTCGCCTCGCATTTATCGGCAGACTTGCCTAAGTCAACCCATGAATAGTGACAATTCACATGTCAATAAGCGCAGTATTCCAGGATTTCTGTTTTAGAAATGCATTGATAAATTTTGACCAATCACCGACTAGACAGTTTCTGTATTGGCTGACGACAGCGAGGGCTCAGGGCATCGACTATTTCGGAGACTTGCAGAGCATGTGCCAATTGCACTCCTGCTAAGAGAAGGCCAAGCTCTTCCGCCACGTTGGCACTCGTTTGCTATCTGTCAATGGCTGCTACCACCACCGCATCTGCTGGCAACGAGCAGCCGCGGACGCCTCGTCGACTCTCGGTGACGAACGCGAACGCGCTGGCTAACTTCAGCCAACTACAGGCGCACTTCCGTGACCACCGCCTCGTGGTCTTCCTGGACTACGATGGCACTCTCACGCCGATCGTGAATGACCCGGCGCTGGCGCTGCTGTCGCCCACGATGAAGGATACGCTCGAGAAGCTACGCGAAAAGTTCATCACGGGCGTGATCACAGGCCGATCGCTGGACAAGATCCAAAAGTTCGTTAGCATTCCGCAACTATACTACGCTGGCAGTCACGGCTTTGATATTGAAGGTCCAGACGGCACCTCTATCAAGAATCAAGTAGCTGCGCAGTTCCTGACGGACTTGCATGGGGTCCGTGACGAACTTGGAGCGCAAATCAAAGACATAGCAGGCGCCGAAGTGGAAGACAATATCTTCTCAGTGTCGCTTCACTACAGGTGAGATTGCGCCTGGCATTGTTGTTGGGTTGATGTATGGAATCATTTTAATGTTGCATTATTGATATGTTTGCAGAAACGTCGATCCGTCGTTGAGGACACAGATCTCGAGTCTCGCGCACACTGTACGAGAGCAACACCCGCGCATTAGGTAAGAAATCGGGCCTCTCTATTATAGTATTGGGCGGAGATGCTCACTCTTTATCTGCAGAATGAACGAAGGCAAGATGGTTTACGAGTTCAAGCCCAAGATCGATTGGAACAAAGGCAAGGCGTTGTTGTGGCTCCTGCAAGCGCTTGGACTAGATGAGCTTGACGACATCTACACTATTTATATCGGCGATGACACCACTGACGAGGACGCGTTCCGGCTCTTCCAGGCGCACTACAACCGCAAGGGCGTGGGCATCGTCGTCACCGAGGAGAGCGTGTCCACGGATGCCTCCTTCACACTGCGAGACACCAACGAAGTCTGCGAGTTTCTGAACCGACTGATCGCTTGCGGTGACCATGCCAGGAGCACGCCTAGCAGCCCGCAGCCAACCGACCCACCTCCACCTCCTCAGCAGCAGTCGTAGCGATTCTAGCATTTTTTTTTTGTTGGAGCGGTTTGCTTTCTGCTGCTTTCGATTTTTAGGACCCCGATTTAATGTTTCGCGCTACCCATTTGTGCGCCAATTTTGATTATCTTGTCACTACGTGGATACTGCAGCAGACCAGCCTTGCATAATGCAATGCATTCGCATCGTCGTCACTTTTCCAATTGCGTTTCGGTCATATTCGCGTTTCATCTGTAGAGCAGTTTATCTTTAACGGCATTAAATTAAAAATAATTTTTATTGTATTGTGCTCGCCTAAAAGATGGTCTTAAAACGTACAAAGATGCTCTTAACCTGTTAGTTCACTTTGAACTTCAGCTGGCCGTTGCATCCGAATCGCGCTTCCCTCACACTCCTGTTTCTGCGGCGGGCGCTTCTAGAGCTGCGTTTACCGCTATGCGCCGCTTTTCTCGTGTCGTTCCTCGCGCTGTCACCGCCGCTGTAGCCTCACAGCCCCGCTCTGCAGCGCCGATCCTTCAACGTAGTTGGATACAGCAAGGTGCGCTTCAACTTGATTGATCCAGCATAGCTCGATTGTTGACGCATATCGTTGGGGTGGTCTGCAGTACCCTGTATGGCCAACGGCAAACAGTGGCAAAAGTTCTCGAGTGTGACGGACACTCATGACGAGCACTTGTCCATTACTCAAGATGTAAGTCACGCTGTAGGGTTGATATGCTGGATAATGGGGAGGCTGACGAGGTATACGTAAGCAGCTTCTTGGGGTGGACGTGCAACATCGCGAGTTTATCACGCTGCGCTGGCAAGATGGCAAGAGGAGCAAGTTTCACCTGCTGCATTTGCGGACGTGGTGCCCGTGCTCGGAGTGTGGCCACCCGACTGGGCAGCGAGTTATTAATTGCTCCGAGGTTAACCAGGACGAGCTGGATATCGAAAAAGTCTTTGGTACGTACTTTGTGCAAGCGTTATATGTATTTGTGATGATGAGGTTGTATTGTAGCTTACATTTTGCAATTTCTTCTGTACAGTCAAGGGTGACACACTCAACATCGTTTGGAACGACCATCACGAGTCTAGCTTCTCGTGCAAGTGGCTGCTTGAAAACAGCTACTCGGACTGGGCGCTGGACCAATTTGCTCATGATATGGCGACAACCCCGCTGGCACTTGAGGCTCCTGTCCCCTCGACGGAGTATGAACGAATGATGGACACAAGTGATGATAAGGGTCTGTACGAGGCGCTTCGCCAGGTCGTGGATCATGGTTTCACTGTGATTCGCAACACACCATCAGTTGAAGGTGCTGTTAAAACGCTTGCAGAACGCATTGCGCCCATATCGCACTCGTACGTCTACATACTGACGTCTTTTTAACCGAAGTTACCACAGTGACAACTAAATTCTTGTTTATACAGGTTCCAATACGGTGATGTCTTCGACGTGGTGGCGGAGCCGACGCCCGTAAGTCGCTACAGTGTACAGACTACTAGGTATTCAATATGACTGATCTGTCGTATATCTCGTCGCTAGGTCAATATCGCGTACACTACCGTGTACTTGAAGAGCCACGTGGACCTGGCATATTATGAATCTCCTCCTGGACTTCAGTTCCTGCACGCACTTCGCTTCGACGAGTCTGTCAAAGGTGGTGAGTCAACATTCGTGGATGTGTTTGCCGTTGCCGAGGAGTTCCGCCGCCTTCACCCAGAGCACTTCGCTACGTTCTGCCGTGTGCCTGCGACCTTCAAGAAGCATCACCTCACTCGTGAAAAGGCAACGATCATGGAGTATCAGCGCCCTCACATCCAGCTTAACCATCGTGACGAGGTGGTTGCTGTGCACTGGAGCCCTCCATTCGAGGGGCCACTGAGAGTCCCGTTCGATGCTGTCATGCCCTACTACGACGCGTATCGTATCTTCCACGAACTTGTTGAAGGCGGTAAGCATCGATACGAGTTCCGACTTAAGCAGGGCGACACTGTGATCTTCAACCAGCGCCGAGTTCTGCACGGAAGGAAGCAGTTTACGCCGTGCTCGGATGGCGTGCGCCACCTTCAGGGGACGTACGTCAACATTGACGACGCGCTCTGCCGCTACAATGTGCTGCGTACGCGCTTCGGCGCTAACGATCCTACCGCCAAGAACCGCCGCGTCGCCAACGGCAACTTCTCGTAGGTTTTAGCAGCTTTTTGTCAAAAGTTAACGAAATATCAAGTTGATGCTGATCTCAGATCTGATGCGGTGTCTGAGTATATGCTGATCTGCTTTTAAATTGTGTAAAGATTGCGTAAAATGGAGCATTTTGCGAGCGAAACATGTCGCCGACGCTGCTGCGTTTGCTGTGCTTGTGCGCTGGACTAGGGGCGTATCTGTGCTCTAGCGGCTTGTTGCGTCTCAACGAGGTCTTCTTCCAGAGTTCGACAGCACCGTCCTCGGACTTGAACACTGTTTTAGACGACCGTCAGGAGCTCGATGCTGCTTACGACCGGCTTGTCGTCGTGTTGATTGACGCGCTGCGAGCTGATATGGTGCTGGGCAGCGCTGCAATGCACGGTATTATTAATACTGGCGAAAACAAACAGCAGCCAAAAGGAGAATTAAACGCTCACATGCCGTTCACCAGCAGTCTCGTGACTTCTGGCAGAGCTCTGGGCTACGTCGCACATGCCAGTGTTCCGACGGTGACGATGCCTCGCCTCAAGGCGCTCGTGACCGGCAAACCTCCGGCATTTATTGACATTTTGAAGAATTTTAACTCGGCAGCTTTGGGTGAGGACGCTAATCTGGTGTCCTTGTTGGCGGCAAGTGGCAAGCGCATCGTGTTTTATGGCGACGATACGTGGCTCAAGTTGTTCCCGGAGACGTTCGAACGATCTGATGGCACGTCGGGGTTCTATACGAGAGATACTGTGGAGGTGGATAACAATGTTACGAGGCATTTAAAGGAGGAGCTAGACCCAACCATGCAGAACGAGAAGAGTGGTGATTGGGACGTACTGGTACTGCATTATCTGGGCTTGGACCACGTCGGTCATCTACGTGGGCCAAGATCGCCTTTGATGAAGGATAAATTGCAAGAGATGGATGATGTGATGAAGTTGGTGGTGGATTCGGTACGGGAACAAGATGTACAGAGGATGAAGAAGGATGGCTCAGCACGATCGTCTTTGATTTTATTGTGCAGCGATCATGGCATGTCGGAGGTTGGTAACCACGGTGGTGCTACATTAGAAGAGTCCTCGGCATTGCTGATGTTTATGCGGGGCGATGGTGAACCGATGCAGTCTTCGGGTGATGTCTCCTATGAGCAGAAGCGTAATCAGGAAGACCTCGTGCCTACGATCTCTTCGCTTTTCGGTCTCCCTATTCCACTGTATAGCACGGGATTGCTGTTGGATGATGTCGTACGTGCTGCTGGTGCTGCCGGTCACCATGGGTCTTACTATCTGCATGCGTTGTATCGCAACTTCCAGCAACTCTATGCTCTTGCCAAGATTAAGTTCCATGCCTCAGCCTTGGAGAGCTTTGACCAGCAATTTGAAGGACCGTTGAATAAGCTACACAGGAGTCTACAGAGGAATAATCACGATGTGGCGATTGATCAGGAAATTGCAGAGGAGGTTCTCAGAGCCTGTAAAACTCTGCGAGCTAAAGTCGCTCAAAGTGATGGATCGGAGTACGATTCGACCGCAATATTTTCCGGCCTGGTACTTCTGCTTGGCAGTGGTGTTGCTGCGCTGTTTATCGTCAAGATGGAGACAAAGCCGCAGCTGAAGAACAGTCGCCTGGTTGCAGTTCTTAGTGCCGGCAGTATTTTGCAGATTGCGAGTTTATCATCAAGCTCTTCGATCGAAAATGAGCACGCAACAGCATTCTTTATGATAACCTCTTTACTTGTTGCTGTCGGAATCATCCTGTCGAGGCGGAACAATTCGAGTGGGCCGAGTTACTCACTAGGAACGATTGGATTGTTACTGGTGATTACACGAATGCTGCGAGCACGCAACCAAATCATCAACTTCTGGCGCCTGAACGGACTTGATATCGATGCCAATTTGCCTGGAAACGAATTTGCCACCGATGATTCCGTGTCAATATTGTCAACAGCTCCTGTAGTGCCATTTAGCATTTTACCATTGGGTATCTGGTTTTTTTTTGTATGTGGCATGGTGCTGCGAAAAGCTTCACGGCACGTAAAACCAGCGCTGCAGAAGGGAGCTATGCTAGATCTCTCTGTCGGTGTCAGCAGTGGATTACTGTTTGTTGTTGGTATGGTGGCATGTCTACGAGTCAAGGAGCTCTCAGACCAGACTATAGTTGAGGAAGATGATGCGAAAACGTGGACATCACTGGATGCTGACTCATGTGCACGCGTGGTGTACACAACTGTCGTTGTCCTCGCGGTGTTAACGGTCCTAGCTGCTGGAAGTCTACGCCTTTCGCTGGTTGAAATGATCGTTTGGCTCCTGGTTGGACTACTTCAACGTGAAGCCAACTTCCCGACGCTTGCCCTTCTTTTTTTGCAAATGGAATCAATAGCGAAGCTACTCAAGAATGAACAAGCCATTGGGTTTCGGCACAATGGCGTTGTTGTGGCGGGGCTCGCGTTGTGGCTATCACAAGCAGCTTTCTTCGCACTGGGCAACTCACACTTGGTTACTACAATCGATATTAGCCAGTCCTATCACGGCTTATCATCGTATTCGCAAAGCCTTGTTGGTGCATTGACGTTTGTCAGCGTTTTCTCCGGTCCGCTAGTGTGCTTCGTGAACCTTTTCCAGTGGTTAGATGTCACACCCATCATCACATTGACAAGAACGACCGAAGCGTCAACATCAAGCGCTCCAAACACGAGACGAACTGCGTGTCTTACGATCTTCACTTACCAGGCACTTCGGTTCGCAGTTTACACGTACGTTACCTGTGGAGATCGTAGTTTATCATACGTCGATCTAACGTCTGCCTTTGTCAGTGTGGTGGTCTACTTCATGCGCTTTCACTTGTTCATCTGGAGCGTCTTCGCTCCCAAGGTAAGGGTTGACTTTACACCGCACATTAACAAGCTGCTCTAACTGAGATTGTCCGTTGTCATTGCAGATGCTCTACGAGTTCGCACACCTTGCTGTGGCGCTCGTACTGGTAGTGTTGCTTCAGTAACAACGAAACTAGATACAAGGCAATAGAGTTGATAGAATCTGTACAACGCAACAATTACCGTTTTTTGTTTTCTCGTGGGTAAATTAATGGTCGGACTGTGTTCCTGCTGCTAAATTTGCCATGTCCGTGCTCACGGCGACCAACAAAAAGTTTGCATTATCGTCGACCACCAATCAGACTGAAACGAATACCGGTACCAAAGAAAAAAGAGAGAAATATTCAACTACTTTAGCACCTCGTTTGCATCCAGCAGCTTCTTCCCAACAGGACACCAGAAATTAATTGGCGGCCTCTTTCCTCCAAAAATATAGAAATAGGCAAAACGCGACTTGATGCTGAAAGTCAACGAGGCTCCAAGGCGTCTCCCCCGCCGATAAAATGACAGGGTCAACCTGTTTGCTGCACTTAAGAGCTCAGGTCCTCCTTCTTGGCAATGATCTGCTCGGTGCCGCAAGCCTTCAGGACCGTCACCACCAGCTGCTTGCCATCGTCGAAGTCCGCGCGGATCTCGTCAGCGAAATTGTCCGGGAAGGTGGGCAGCTTGATGTCCTCACGGGTCTCACCAGAGTCGTCCATGAGCGAGCAGAAGTCATCGTCCGTGATGTCCAGAAGCGTGTACTCAGCACGCGACACGAAAGGCACCGACGTGGTGTGCGTCGAGGGCACAATGTCCTCGTACTTCTTGTTGGTGAAGATGTCGAGAGCCGTGAAGTTGCACTTGGCGTGACCGTGCTTGCCCGTCTTGGAGGTCGACACGTTCACGACCTTGCACGGGTGTCCCTTGATCATGATGAAGCCGCCCTTGCGGATCTGGCCAGCTTCGCTGGGGTACGTCTCGGAAGCACCGGCGTCGGTCGAGTGGAACTCGAAATCATGCTCCTCGTCAGCCATTGTAGATAGTGGGGAAAGAACCTAGAATGTCAAATATTTCATTAGAAGCATGTTCTGCGACGAATAATTGGCATGGGTACAGCGGATTCTGGAGGTGCATAGTGGCGTGCATTGCACACGAAACCTGCGTAAACAGGTACCAGGGCTGTTGCTGCATCTGCACCACCAAGATCCGCTACACACGACGTTTGGAAGGAGCTCGTACCTTGGGAAGGGGGGAAACTTAACTGGGGATCCAAAACTGAGTGCGCTTGCTGGCCAATTATCCGCCCACCTATCATTGGTGGAGCCACACAGATCACTAAGCGCGCTTGGATTTTGTCAAAGCGCGCTTAAATGATGAAAATGGGAATACGCTATTGGCTCAAAATGCATGTTGGTGCTTGGTAGTTGCTTGGTAGCTGCGACCGTCAATTCCGTGCGGGGTAGAGCGTCGAGCATGATTAGATGTAGTGCATGTGCATTGTCCAGCTGGCAATGCTGTTGATGCTGTGCGTCAAAGCAGACCTCTTCTTCGTTGCCTCCTGGAAATGCTGCCATAGACACGCTGCCAACTGCAGGACCTACCGGTTGAAGTACCGGTGATGGATCATTTTTGGCAGCAGCCTGTCGGTGGCGCGATCGTGACGGTTGGTGACGCAGTGTGTATCTGCGTCAGCGGATCAGATACTTTCCCCCTCTTCAATTGAGAAAGAAGCATTCAGCGGCATCATCAGCGCAGTATGGCGGAACCCCACATGAAGACGGCGGGCGTGGCCCAGTTCATCCGTCATCAGGACGACGTACCGGCCAACGCAATCGCCCCCACGGACGCCGTGGTGGCCGAGTTCAAGCAGCTCAAGATGCGACGCAAGTACCGCTACATTTTGCTCCGCATCGAGGCCGACAAGGTGGTTGTTGACGCCACGGCGCCGCCCTCGGAGACGTTCGCGGACTTTAGCGCCGCTTTGCCCGAATCGGACTGCCGCTACGCCGTGTATGACCACGAGTTCCTGACGGCCGATGGCCGTAAGTCCAGTAAGCTTTTCTTCGTCACATGGATCCCGCAGAACTCGCACCCGGGCTTCAAGATGGCCTACACACACGCCAAGAGCGCTATCCAGAGTGTGTGCGAGGGCTGTTTCGAAGTCAGCGCCGTCATCAAGAAGGAGATCGCGCTGGGTATGAACATCACGGACGGAAACGCCTCCGACTCGGACAGCGAGTTCGAGGATGACTAGATAAATGTTACCTGGGCAGGTTTGATTGTATTCGTACCGTCTATTCGGGCGCGACGAAACGCCCACTACTCTCGTATTGTGTATCAATCAAAAGTTGTCCAGAACTCTTGTTACCTTCTTACTTGGACGACGTGGCCTTGAGGTGTTGACGTTGTTTGTTGCGCATCGCCAGCATTTGCTTCTTGAGCGCTCGCTCGGCCTCCAGGCTCATGCGCTTACGCTCCTTTTCGCGATGTTCATGCGCTTCGTGCTCGGCGCGTTTGCGTTTCTCATTGCGTGCCTTCTCCACGGCGCGAGTGTGCTTGATATACACGAAGCGCGTGTATTCGTGTGTGAGCATACGCAGCACTGCGACGCCAGGTCCACTGCGGTGGAGAAGCATATCGTGCGCGGTTTCTAGTTTGCTCAGTGCATAGGAATCGTAAGGTCGAACTAGTCGCATCGCTTCATCAAAGAGCGCCTGCATCGCGGGCGTCACCAGTGACGAATCCTTGATCTTCGATGATCGCGTGCTGGTGGGCGTTGGCGCCTTCTCTGCTTCCGGTTCTGTCTTAATCACACCGTTGGTATCAGACTTCGCTAGAGTAGGCAATGCTGGTACGGTCGGTGTTGATTTGGTCGCATCATTCACTGCTGAAGGTGTAGTAGTGGCTGAAACATTGGCCGCGAGGCTAGTTGCTGTCGATATTGGAGCCATAGCAGGGGCGCCAGTGAGGCGAATAATCTGCGCCACGCAAGCCAGCCACCTCGTCGTGCGTTGAACGTTAATTCGGTCCATCTTCGGGGGTCCCAGAGCTTGCTGAGCTGCTGTTAAGCTACCGCTGGTTTTCCCATCAGTTGGTCTTGGTGGTTTGCGAGTTGAGGCGTTGGATCCTGTGTTGTACGAGTAGCCACTATATCCTCTGGCACCACCCGGGTTGATATAGCAACCGTTCTGCACAAACTTGCTCTCCTTTTTCTCAAAGTCCAAACGTTTTGCTTCTTTACGGGATGCAATCAACCCACGCGCATCAACCGGAGAACGACAGACGCCGCAAATAATGTCGTCCGTCATGCTTGGAAGGCCCTTAGGCAGCATAATATCCTTCCGCACGCCGTTCTGGATAACTGAGATCGCGTTTCTTTTCTTCTTGGCCCCATTATTCCCCGCCACTTGTAAGTATCGTTCACGCTCACGAACATTTGATCGACGTTTAGTGCATCTCCAATGCTGGACGTGCAGAACTCCAGACTCATCTTCACATCCAGAGCAGTAGAATAAGTGTTGTTGCTCGTGGAAAGGATCCAGACAGACATCGCAAGTGTATTGCTGACTGAATGGACCAGGGAATTTGGCCAAGTATCTCGGCGGGTTGAACGCTCGTTCAAGACGTCGAAACAGCTTCTTGTCATTCACAAAGTCTTGCACAGGCGTCGGTGGGAGCGCGTACACCTTTTCGAGCTGTGGCACGTGACTCAAGAAGAACTGGAGTACTTGAAGATGCTTCACATTGTAGTCCGCTGGCTCACTCTTGCTAGCACGCAGACCTTTATTGCAGTACCCAACCATCAACGCGGCCACGTCGCGCATTATCACAGCAGCACTGGTATAATCCGGCAAGTGTTTGGCAACAGTACCGAATCTGCGCATGTCGTCACGACCAACAAGTAACCGGATGGGGCGCGTGATTAGCTTGGCTAATAGGTCACCGATATCCTCGGTGCAGTCGCGATGACGCTCGCAGTATGCGTGGAATTGCAAAATGTGATCAGTCCGAAGCTCCACGTGACCTTTTCCTTCGTGAGCGCACATTGCGTGAAAAAACTGCGCGCAGTTTACTCGGCGACACTGGATCCGAACGCCAGCACTTGAGTGGCAGAAGCAACATTTATCTGGAGTGACTGGATCTCGGAGCATCACCTCGTTAACATCAGGAACAGCCTCCTCAGGATCTTCAGTAGAGGGTTCCTCCTTTTCCTCAGTATCTTCTTTAGCAGCTTCTGCATCAACGTCCTTCTTAGAGTCTTGTGCAGCTTCCTCCTTTGCAAGTTGCTTCTTTGGCACCTTCTCAACTGGTTTAATCTTGCTCTCCTTCACAATGTGCACAGCCAATCGACGTGGATCCCAATTGATGCACAGTACGTGCCCAAACTCCTCTGCATCAGTCTCTTTTTGCTCACATTTCTTACATTGACGCCAAAATTCATCGTCTCCACTCTTCTTCACCACCTTCATAGCTTTGTCACCACCTGCTTTCCCACAGTACACGCACTTGGTCACCTTTCTCTCCACTCCACTTCGACAACAGTCACATTTCCAGCCTGAACTCTCCCTCTCCTCGACTAATTGCTCTGCTGCACTGACCCCCTCTTTCTCCTCTGTCTCTACTGTAAGAGGCAACGCGTCAGCGTAACAGTTCTCGTGAACTGCAAGCTTGCACCCCACGCAGACCCGCAGTTTGTCCCTGCGCACGGCATTTTTAGCGAGACTGCATTCAGAGCATCTCGCAATTTGATCCGAATTATCTTTCTCCTCCGTTATTGTGTCCTCCGAGGTGCCCGGCGTGTCCTTGTGTACGCTGTCTTGTGCGCCAACCGCCGCGTCTTGATCGTGCCCCGATTTCTTCGGGTCTACGTCCTCCATGACGGTGTCAGCAGCATCGTTGGAGCTAACTACGTTCTGCCCATCTTTCCTGCCATCGGGCAGTGCTGCAGACTTCCCTGGGGCGGCGCTGGACGCGTCCGCGACCTCCGTCCCCTTCGGCATCGTGGACAGCCGTTCTGCAGATAAATGTGACCCCATGCGGAAAATAGCCTGGAAAGGGGAAGGGGAGTCTATTCCGAGCCGCAAAAAATAGTCCGAACTATTTAATGCGGAAGTTGAAGATACAATATCTTCTAGGAGCTAGGATAATCCTAGCTGAAGTCTCTGTCTGGGAAGAGCTTTGGAGCGATAAGAGTCCAGGAGAACATAAGAATCGTGACCCACTGCGCGACGATCTTCACCCACATGGATACGGCGTTGAAGGAGCTGGTAACATTTAATTTGAGCATGAAAGAAATGTTAGAACCACGGCCAAGGTTTTGGTCGGATTGATCGTACCCGTCCGCAGAATTCCAGTCTGTAAGCACCATCGCCATGTACAGTCCTGCAAGGCACATCATACTGTAGAATTGCCACGGTTCATGGATGAGTTCTCGATTTTCTTGGGAAGGCTCCACTGTAGTTACGGCTGGAGTGGTGGCTGGGATTTCGTCGGTGTGTTGCGTGGGCATGACGACGACAGCAGTGAATTGGTCACTGCTATTAGCTGGATGACCGATTGAAGTATCTCTGTGGAGAGGTGGGGGTGAGCGCCGAACTAGTAACTTGGCGGCTGCACTCGAGGTTCGCCAGCTCGTCCATGTCATAGCGAAGGCTGCGATCACGGCATTGGCAATCATGCTGTTCGTATTTGCCGCCTCCTCGTCTTGAGGAGTAGGTGGTGGATGATCACGATGCTCGCAGGTTTTGTCGGGGTTGCTGACTAACGCTTGCCAGCACATAAGTACGAGATATGCCGAGATAGCGCAAGGTGGCAATAAACCCACTTCCAGCCACGATGATACTGCAAACCAGTCAGATCATCATTAGTGAAGCTTATCCACAAATGCGTCAATTTATCTAAAGTATATCCTTACTGCAAACAATGATAAGAAGACTAGCCGCCACAATTGTAATGGTCGTGAATGCAAGACCCAACGAGCAATCGCCGAATCGCATGTACTGAAATGAAACGCGGGTGAGTAAGTATGAATTCATTTCTGGAAGGCTTGAATAGCATACCAGGTAAGCAATAGCAGCTCCTACGGCAACAAGCGATCCGGCGCAAACCCCTAAAAACGCTGTTTTCCTACGAGCGAACGTGGGGGTAAGAAAGTGATTCTTGAACGGACTAAAGTACTCGTACCACAAGCACACGCTTCCTGCGCACGATCCCTTGTCCAGTTTACCCTCAGTTGCAGCCTTTTCAGCATTTTCGATAGCGTTCAACAGTGTGTCTCGTACTTGATCTAAGGACGGATAATTATTAATTATGAGTTGCAGGTTTAGAAGTAGCAAAACTGGTAGACTTACATGAAACGCTGACGATGGAGAAAATCTGGAAGAGGATGAAGAACCCCGACGCGACTCGGGTGAAAGGCACATACCCGTCAAAGAATGCTAGTCACAGCAAGAGCATGAGTACGCTGAAGAACTGCTCTGTCAATTTAATAGTTCGAGAGCCAAGTCGCGCACTGTTTGGAATGTAGAATGAGCCGACTAGCAGAGCCACTAGCACCGGGATCTCGACCCAAACCAGAATCATCATTGTCCGTTGACGTGGCTGGACCCATCCAAATCGACTAAGTAGTGCTTTCATCAGAAAGAACATGGAGATACTGAAGCTGGCTCGGAAGATCATCTGGTTACCCTGGCAAGACTCGATATCCGCCGAATCACATTCTGAAAAGGTGCCGAAGGAGGACAGCAGGCCTGATATCATGCACACATGGACTGGTCATTACGTGTCACACTGTGGAAGTCAGCTAATCTATGTCTTCTCACCTTGGCCGATCGTCTTGAACATGGTTGCGAAGATGGCGTTGCAGAAGAACACCGCGATGTAGATCCCGCGCAGCCAGTTGATCTCGATCTTAAATAGAGCAGACATCCTACCAGGCATCGCGTCCGCCAGGCTGCCCCCTGGAGCACAGGCTCAGAAAGAATGATCACAATCCTCAGCTTCCCAGAAAGCAATGATGACAGGCAAAAGCTAAAATTGCCACGTTACAACCTTTCACTATAATATCTGGCAGGTCACTTCAAGTGGTACACATCAACTCTAGCAGTTTCTTGCTGAACTTTTTGTGGTTCCAGCGGCCACACGCCACACAACCCCACAAGACGCACAACTGGAGGAACACTTCTCCCACACTCTGGCACCGAATCGGTGCTTTCTAGACAGGTAGACAGCACCGCTCCACACGAACATGACGTACTCATGCATACGTTAACCTATTGCTATTGCCACTGGTAGGGCCACTCATGTCAACCAAGAGAGGACGCTCTCCGTCCTTAGCGGACGACGCTCCGCCTGCCAAGCGCGGGAGCAACGAGACGGGGGAACAATCCCAGCTCCATGTTAACGCTCCAGAAGATGCCGTAGCTCTAGCTACAGCAGTGCACGCTGTCTCCATCGCTACGGAAAACAGCGTACCAATCGCAGAGCCAAATACAACAGCGGAAACTCAAGGAACCGCCCAATCTGAGGTTAACTCAGCTCAAACGGACGTGTTGAGTGCAGCAATGCAGACTCAACCACCGTGTGGCAACGTGTCCGTTGTAGCGCCATCAGTGGGGCTTATGGTGGTCGCGCCGGAGTTTGAGGTGGTTCACGACTCGTGGGAGGCATTTGAAGAAGTACTTAAAGCTTATGGGAAGATGACGTTCCAGCTTTATGTCATCCGTTCCACCACTTCAGTAAAGCGCCGCAATCTCAAGATCGCAGAGAGTGCAGGAAGAGGAGATACTGGCAACATGGCAGCTTTAAGAAGAGCAGGAATGGACATGGGAGTGTCGGAGGCCGACACAGACCACGTTGTGGAGAGAACTCTGATCCCGGAACAGTATCAATGGTACTCCAAGTCGCTCAAATGTACGCACGGATGGAAAGACCGTCATCGTGGGACGGGAAAACGCGGATCTGGAGTCGTGCGGTCGACCAGTTGTCCTGCTAAAATGTGTGTGACTCTGCAGCATCGAGGCCCTGGCGCTGAAGACTGGAAAGTGGTGGTGACCAAACATGTGCGGACCCATAACCATCAATTGTCCAAGGAGCTGTACTTGTACTACACTGAAAACCGACGTATCTACGATCCAGAGTTGCTAGCTGTAGGTGGAGATACTTCTGGAGCTGCAAAACCCTCCGACTTGACCAGTACTCATCTAACATCGTTGATCGATCAAGCGTATCCGCGATCGGGGCTATATCGCATGCTCACATCCAACGATGACCAGAGTCAACTGGCTTCATCCATGGCTTTCATTGTGTCGGACCCAACGTCGGCTATTGTCAGTGGGAGCAGCGTTGAAAACCGCTCAAACAAGCAACTCGTACCTCTCTCCGACGCCAGCAATGGCAACTTTGTGATCCGGCCACGTACCAGTTCATCGACTCCGTTAGCTCCGATGCCGCCCCTGGGAGCCATGATATTGACGCCAGGAACGATTCCTTCTCGAGCGATGGATGGCGGAGGCTTTTGTGTGCCTCGAGTAGCGACTAAAGTGCACGCGTCTTGGGACGCTTTCCACGACTACATAGCGCAGTACGCCTTTGATACGGCGCAAGTGTTCCGTACTAGATCTACTGTATCGGTTGCTGCTAGGAACGCGAAGATCGTCGCGTCTATCGCAGCAAAAACTGGAGAAGACCATGATGTGGCAAGCTACGCGAGTTACGCCGCGACATCTCCGACCTCGCGTCTGATCCCAGAGGAGTTCAAATGGTTCTCCAAGCTGCTCATTTGCACGTACGGTTGGAAGCGCAGAGCGAGGGGTAAAACTCCTCGTCTGGAGCACGACGATGGGCCTTGTCCAGCGATGTTGCTGGCTCGGATGGAGCGCAACGTCGATGGGAACTGGCAAGTTGTGATCAATCGTCAAGTACCAGAGCATAACCATAAATTAGGCGGACATGAGGAGACTGGAGCAAGTAACCATGAGGTCATAGAGGCTCATACCGATACTCTGACAGCTGCGCAGACATTCGAATCAACTCCTCTGCAAAGTGTGGACGACTCTTCATTGATGGAGACTCAAACGATCGCCACGGAATCAAGCATCGAAGAGCCACAGATCTCGTCTTCAAACCAGCGCGAGATAGTCGTACGAGTTCCCAAGCTTCAGTCGATGTTCAAGTCGTGGGATGACTTCCACGCGAGTCTCAAAGCTTACTCTGACGCTACATATCAGCTTTATCGCACACGAACGACCAGTTCAGCCAAGGGAAGAAACAAGAAGATCGCGCAGATGAAGCGTAGAGGAGAAGAAGACGAGAACGATGAGAACAACGACAGCGATAGTGATGTGGATCTCTCTTTGAGTGGAGTGAATGGAGCACGTAAGATTCCTGAATCCTGGAGATGGTACTCGAAGACGCTTACGTGCACACATGGCTGGAAGGAGCGACATCGAGGCACTGGAAAGCGCAATGCTCATGGCGTGCGCTCAACAGCTTGTCCCGTGAAGATCTGTGCAACTGTGCAGTACATGAATCCCTCTCCACGACTGGAGAACGGCAATATTTCGGTGGATAATGATGACGCAAATTCGGAAAGTTATTGGCGCGTTGTGGTGACGAAACATATCGTGGATCACAACCACAACTTGTCGCGGGAATTATACCAGCATTATTGTGAGAACCGTCGGATATACGATCCCGAACTCCTAGCTATCGACACGTCGAGTAGCAACGCTGTGGTTACGCGTAAGGTTTCGAGCGATCAGGCCGCGACTGCAGATGGTTCGAGGCTGAATCAACCTGATGCAAATCAAATTCTTCCTCAACCACCTGTGCTTTCGACGCAGCTTGAGGCAGGACTCGCTGAAGCTGTGAACCAAGCTCAGCTTTTCGGGTCGAATAGTAATCACCCCGTCAGTATTGGTGCAACTGGAGTGACTACTTTGCCACAAACGACTACTTCGAGTGGCGCACAACAGTCTGTTCCGTCGTTTGTGTTGCTTCCGTATAGTACCGCAGCCTCCTACTTACCCAGCCAAGCACAAGCTCAGTCACAGCAACAGCAGCAAGAGCAACAAACACAGGCAGCATTTGGTGCTACGGCTGGAGCTCAACTTGGACAAGCAGCCGAACGAGGCGAAGGTGTCGCCACGTTGGCGGCTGTAGCAACGCCTGGCTTAACTCCAGCCAACCTCGTGCTACTCAACAACGCCGGTATGTCTATGAATGGCTTCCCTCCTCCCGGTTCGAACGTGATTTCAGTGGCGTGTCGAGTCCACGGATCTTCAGGAACGAATCCGGATGGCAATTCTATGAGCTCTAACTCAGCTAACACGCCAGCAACACAGTGCACCTGCTTCCGCATTGCAGGAGGTGGCAACTACGTCACGATTGTCCCTGCTAACGAGCCAATAGTCCCCACCGAAACGAGTTTTGACGCTGATGATGAGGCGATGCTGTATGCGGAAGAGATGGAGGGAGCGTGGCAGCCGTCGTCGAATGTGGAGATTGAAAAGGTCACTACTGACAACGGAGAACTCATCTGGCGTGTGCCTCGCATTGCGCGGCGGTACCCCACCTGGGAAGTTTTTCACAAGTATCTGGACGCGTATTCGGCTGCAACTTTCCAGCTTTATCGAGTCCGTACGACATACTCGGTGCGTTCACGTAACACTCGTCTCCGTCAATTAGCAGCTAGTCGAGGACTGACTGTGCGTGAAGGTGGGAACGACGCGGAGACGGAGCAAGAAGGTGCCAATGGGATGTCTCGAGCTCACCTTGTACCGGAGCAGTACGAATGGTATTCTAAAACTTTCCTATGCACACATGGCTGGAAACGCCGCAGTCGTGGCAGTGGCCAACGTGTGAGCCACAATGTTCGAGCTACCGAATGCCCCGCCAAGGTGTGCGCTACGCTGCAACGGACGGATGGCTCGAACAACTGGAGTGTCGTAGTGACAAAGCATTTGACCGAGCACAACCACGAACTGTCGGAAGCGCTGTATCAACAGTATTCAGAAGTGCGACGTGTACGCGACCCTGAGGTTCTTGCACAGGCAGAGCAATTGTGGCGAGGTGGAGCTACACGTCGTCGCGTGTTCGAGTTCCTAAAGGAGAGATCACCGAATCAGATCATTCTCATGAAGGACGTGCACAACCTGGTGCAGCGATGGCAAGCCCAAGAGCGTCGCCAACAGGGCGATAATGGAGAGCAGGAGCAAGCCCAGGAAGAACAACGGAGACAGAATTCGTCAGTTGCAGCTCATGACGATGAGAACTCGTCTTGGTTGTAATGCGAACTGTACTACTACTCTTTCTCATTTTTATTTGGTATGAATTGCAATTAGCAAGCGCAGCAAGCAGCGCAGCCAACTCACATATCTGGTCTCCTCTAATTCCACTTTGCGGAGTATAGCTGTTTCATGCTGGAAAAGGTACATTATCAAATATTCAGGGCGATAGAGAGATTTTTAGCTCATGTACTTATGTCAGTCTTTGTAATATATTTCAGAGAATATACTCTATCTTGAAAAAAAAAAACTGTTTTTTCTAATAATATCCGGATAAAATCTAGAGATGGGGCCGTTGGATGACATTCAGACGAAAAAAAAACCCATTATTTTTAATGGTTTTTTTTTGTCTGAATGCCATCCAACGGCAAAGCATTAACCGGCCGGTGCATACTTGAATAAAAATAAAAACGAAAAATATAAAAGAATACGAATAAAAACCAGTAAAAAAAAAAATGTTTTTTTTTTAATGAGTGAAAGTCTTTCGTACTCGCAAAGACGAAATCGATGTCGTTGAGTGCATTTGTGGCTGGAGTAGCGCTCGGCGGTTTGCGGTACGGCGCCGTCAAGTTCCAGTTGATGGAACGCGAGAGCGTCGTGCTGTATTCGGTGAGCCAGGTCAAGGAGAGCTTCCATGGCGACCACGTATGTCCTGCGTCTATTGTCTGTGCCAATAGTGAATACTTACTTGCTATTTCGCTCCAGCTGAAGACGCGCCACGAGGAAAGATACGAGCCACTTCCGAGTCGAGAGCATGAGTACTACACGTACGTGCGCGAGGGCTGGAACTCCAAGGTGCTGGCTTTTCGCAACAAGACGTACGAGTTCTTCCAAGCCAATTAATACGACCTGGCGGATATCCTACCCACTCGCAGCTCTGTGAGACTGCTGTGAATAGCTCAAAAGACGAGAAATTAACACGCAGATCATGTATTTCCTGGCTCATCACAAGGGGTAGATTGATACAGAAAGCTCTTACACAATAGGGACTCCTTGGCGTTCCATGACCAGCGTATTCTCCACCAACTGTGCCTGCGTGTCTTGGGCCTGCCGCACAAGTTCTTGCATCTTGTTCCGAAAATATTCGACACGAGCTTTGCCGACGCTGGGGCTGCCGCTACTCGGGTACTCAGGGTCGCTCTTCGTTCGAGCGTTCCTAAGCTGGTACTTAAGACGGCGTTGCGCCTCGTCATTGTCGTCGTCGCTATCCCCGTCGAGACTCTCAATGTCACGCCAGTCGGGACTTGACTGCGAGATTTCCATGCTAAGGTGTAGTGCAGGTTCGGACTGTCGTAGCTGTATCAAAGGTGCCTGCAGGAAGGTCCGTAGCTCAAGTTCCTTCTTCCTCTCGTCCACAGCCATCACTGCCTCGCGTGCACATACTTGAAGTGCTTGCAGCGTCTTCCTCATAGGGAGATCATCGTCCTCACCGGGACTGATAGCAGTGTCGAATACAGCAAGAGCACCATACCGGTATCGCGTCTTGGAGTCGGTAAGCGGCACACCCGCGTAGAACCTCGCTTGCTGCGGGCCCATGACGATTGGAAGCTGTCGGAACTCGTATCCTGACGGGTGAGACTTGCCGTCCAATGCCAATGTATTCCGCGTGATAATAGGTGTGTTCAGTTGAAGCACCGGGTCACAGCAACGCATATTCGCCGCAATATTCATGAGCGTGGCTCTACCTGCAACCTTAAGGTAGTGGACGGCCGACTCGGTCTCGTTCTGTTGGTCCTTGTCTGTTTGAGTGAACAGCGTCAACGCCACGAACTTGGAGCGTCGAACTGAAGCCGCGTTCTCGCAGAGCTTGAGGAAAATGTCTTCATACATTTTCAGCGACTCGAAGCTGCGGTAGATCATAGCTCTGTCCTGCTGTGAAGCCA